ATTTCATCAATGGCTCGGGGGTTCAAGAGTCCGTTTTTAAAGAGCCAAATTATGAAATTAACATAACGAAAGAGCATGTTCTTGAGCCAAATTTGGCTAAGAATGATGTTCCATGCATGGCTCGGGGGGTCTCAAAACCAATTTTTAGAGAGTCAAGTCATGAAAATAACATATCTATGGGTGATTTTCATAAGCCATTAATGGCTTACATGGAAAAACAACCCACTTTGCCAAATAATTATGAAAATCAATTCGGCAAAAGTCATGTCTTTAAAACAAACATGGTCAAGAATAATGAACAAGCCATTGTTCATGAATTCAAAATTTTTGACATTTTTCAAAGTGTCAAAAAGTATGAATTTTCATGATCACGCTATACCATGACTTTTGTTGTTCGAAATCCATTTTGGATTTGTGGATCACATCAAACGTTGACTTTGATGGAATGACTAACAAATAATATTTCATTATTGCAATATATTGAGCCAAAAATATTGTTATTAGTTGATCCATAAAACCATCACATTTGGTTTTGTAGTTACCTTCGAAGCATGTCTCAAGACACTTCAAAGCAGATTATTCATTGAAATATCATTTTATAGCCATTAATGGCTAGTTAAAATACTAAACTAATTTCATAGTAATCCAACTTTTTGGATTTAGTTTGAAGAGATGTCGTAAGCACTTTCGAAGGGCGATTTTGATTCTTTAGTAACATATGTGACTTTCGAAGGGTGGTTTTGTCATCAATAAACACCTTCGAAATGTAACATGGGACGAGAAACTTTCAAAATGTGTACCTCCCTTCAAATATATGTAAAATGACAATTAATTAATTATCGAATAATGCATATTTTTGGCATGATAATTAGTGGCTTTACTGGTAACCATTTTTATAGCCATTTGTTACATGAAAATGTAACTAGTATTCCAGAAAAGTTGGTTCGAAGAACAACGATATTGGTGTCTTCGGAGAATTAATAATTGGTTTAAAGTATAAAATTAATATTTTCATTAATTATGTGTGAACCAAAACATACAAAATTTGAATAACCTTCAATGTTGGCTAAAAGTTGTTTCGAAAGCCCTTTTGCCATAATTTTGTAAGCTTTGAAGCACTCCATCTTGCATCAACAACAGCTTTGAAGAAAAAATAGTGATGGTTGTGAACCTTCGAAGCTTTGCCGAGTATTTCCAAGGATGTAATTCGTCATTTGTCGGCACTTTCGACTTTCGAATGATGATTTTGGTCCTCTATACCACCTTCAAAGCTGGTTATTTAGCATGTGTAACAGTTTGCTAAGGTGAATCATAGGCTTTGCCTTGAAAATATGTGGTTATCCTTCGAAGCTTTTCTGCAATAATATCCCTTCAATACATATATATATAATTCGCAACATCTAGTCATAATTTCATGCTCATTCGAAGCACTTTATTGGTGCTATTATATCATTCGAAGCACTTTGTTGCTTAGATTAGTCATGTGCTTGGTTCGGCCCTTCAAAAATTCAAGTAAACATCATTTTTAAGGGCTGCGGAGGCTAATGTTGGCACCATAAATCTGTAATTTTTATTATTACTTATTATTTATATAATTGTAGGACATGTGGCATCCTCCTATTCATTTGGAGATTATGAGAAGTTATGAAATGTGAAAAGATGATGGAGAATGAAGTGGAGAACACAGAGCATTAATTGGAGGTTAAAGGAAGTTATGAAGACATGGAGGAATATGTGGTATTGTGGGAATAAAGATAGGAAAGTGGGTAGTTTTAGGTGGTTATTGGGTAGTTATTGCTGGAAGTTTTTTCCTACAAACATTTGTCTATAAATAGCCATTCATGGCTACATTGTAAAAGGACCCAGAATCCAAATCAAAGGCAATTGATTTCAATATTTCTTGTCATTTTCCTTATCGTAGGAGTAGTTTAACATAGATTTATACTTCGAAGTATTTATTTTCAGCACTTTCTTTTCGAAGCATTTTATGCACTTTTTTTTTGAAGCATAGGAGTAGAGGTAAGTAATGATTACTTTGATTGTTCACTCAATCGTCTTTCTCCGTCTCCCTCATTCTTCTTTTAATTTTTCTTTTCTCTACACTTGGCAATTTTGAAGTCCTCTTTGTTGAGGCAAAAGAACCGTCAACGCAATCGCTTGATAATTGGCTTGAATTTAATCTGTAAGGATTTTTCAATCCTAGCTGGCACGCTCGCATTTATAATATTTTCTTTCGTAGGAAAAATAAGCCAACAATAGCCTACTAAAATAGTCAAAAAGCTAAAAAGCCTAAAAAATAGCCACTTTCCAAACATCCGCTTTATATGGAATCACAGCACAATTGAGCATGAAAAAAACATTATACAAATATGAGTGTAACTTATTCTGTGGTAGGATGTAAGTAAAAAATTATGGAGGTGCAACTCAAAATTGCACCCTTCGTGTTTGTGCTCTCTTTTTTTTCTCAATCTTCATCGAACAGTGATTTCCTCTAGATTTTAAAGAAATTTATATATCATTATATGGTGGTTGGATTAATGGAGTAACTAAGACCATCTCCAACGGTCCATCATTTCGTTTATGAAATTTAAATTTTATGAAAAAATAACTTTTTTTCTACTTCAATAGTTTCATCAGATTAGTATCAAATCAAGAATATCAAAAAAAACTCATCAAATTGAGGACGACTAGGAGTTTTCATCAAATCACTATTTATAGTCGTTGGATTTTTACCACTGGATGTCCCCTGATGATCACCTCTAGGCAAAAATTTGTGAAAAAAATACATTGGCCGGTCGACTGGTGGGACATCTATCCGGTCGTCCGCCCGATCAACTAGTGTTTTGATAAAAATTAAAAATCCTCCGTTGAAACACTTGACATCAAATAAATTTTTTATTCAAATTTTTACTCAAATTTAAAGGAAAAAAGAATGCACCTTGGAGCCTTCAACTTGGAGATGCTCTAATACCATAAAATAAAAAATAATGAATGCAATTAGACTTTTCCCATGATTCGAGCATGTATTATATTTAGGAAAAAGTAACTGAGAGGGAGAATTGTGTTGAATAGTGGGTCAAGCTGCGCCAACACGAAATTTGGTGTTGGGCCAGGTGAAGCGAGCCTGGGACATGTCATTGGGCCAGATTGAGGTTATTCGAGATGCGTCTGGCCAAGCTGGTCCCACATGAAATGTGGTGCCGGGCTGAGCTCAACACTTGCAGAATATTGTGTCAGCCAAACCCGGCCGAGCTGGCGGACAGAGCTGCCCCAACATTGAGGTCCAAGATAGCAGAGTCGCATGACGATTAAGCTGCAGACTGTTCGGGCTACTATCACCGAGGCAGGCGATCTGTAAGATCACGGTCAATAGCTGAGGTGCCGAACGATATGACCACCTCCAATCAGTTATTGTAAATCGGTCCAGATCTAGCTCGACACAAAGCAACTAGCATAGTGTTAGTGGTTCGCCAAGTAACAGCCCGGTCGAGCATCCCACGTGGAAAGAGAGAAACCCACTCCTGGTATGTGTCAATACCGTTTGGCAGGGCGACAAACACTGTTTGGAGGTTTTGGTCTCTACACGTGTAAGAAATGTAGAAGGGAGCATAGCCGCCTGTCCAGAGAAGGACATCAGAAGTAGTGCGCCCACAATCTCTGAGGCTACATGGCCAGCCTTGAAAATGAGGAGCATCCAGACGTTGAAGGTAAGCAATTTTTGTGTAAGTCTCTCTCTCTGCAACGCTCTCTGCATTCTCTCTTCTCCTTACAAGCTAACTTAACCGTCAGAGGGGTTTTCCGACAAACCCACCCGTCGGGTAGCTCACCTTTGTTTTGTTTACAGTATGATGAAGTTCTAACGGAATGCGACGAGCTTGGAAGCAAGGAGGTACGGAGCGGGGCGAATATTTCTTTCCCATACAATTGGCGCCGTCTGTGGGAAGTTCTTTGATAGACAAACCTTGTTCTACAAGCTTTTTCGACTCTTTTTCATAACAAACATCGACGAAACGCCGCTGTCCATTGTTGATGGCATTATTCCAAAGTCAGTCCGAAGAAGAGATAGCCCTCCCGTCATTCCGACAATGGTGGGCCTGGAGACTTCCTCTAGAGAGCTACCTAGAGACGCGCAAGACAAACGTGCGAGGAGCACTGGTCATTCTCAAAGTCCTGAGGGGTGTCGACGGTGAGAAGAATCGCATACTCAACGTCTAGAGCACAAACTCAGAGATCAAGACGCCCTTATTTGGAGGATGGCGGCTGAGATGGAGATGTTGAAACGACAAATCAAAGGGAAGGGTGTTACTAGAGTGGGAAACCATAGTGAGTGCATCCAATCCCATCGCTCCGGTAACCAGCGCCAATGAGAGACACCCTTCCTCTCCATTACTAGAAGCTACGACATTGGCAATTCTGATCCACCGATGAAGAGATCACGCACGCGTGACAGCAGCTACCATCCCTCACATCCCTCGACGACGTCAAGATTCTCTTACTCCGCCCGTTCAGAGGACCTGGAGGACGTCTTGGAGGAACGTACACACCGCAGGGAGGCTCAAAGAGTGCCGACACTACAAAGGCTGAGTCCTAGAATCCATTGCAGTGAGGAAGTGGCCATACAACCACCTAAAATTGAGATTCCAGCACCGACGGACAGAGACTTGGCAAGACTCACCGCCACCCCACTATCTCCAGAGATTGAAAGCACACCTCTTCCCGCTGGATTCCATCAACCTAAGTTCACGCTATACGATGGTAAGACGGATCCGTACATGCACGTTAGTCATTACCGGTAAGTAATGGCAGGCCATCAGCGCAACAATGCCTTGATATGCCTCATATTCCCAGCAAGTTTGGGTGAGTTGGGTCTAAAGTGGTTTGAAAGGCTCCCGGAGGAGAGTATCGAGGGGTGGCAACAGCTAGCAAAAGCCTTTGTCACCAAATTCATGACCAATACTCGAATACCGAAAGAAGTTGACCACCTCCTGGATATCAAGATGGAGTCAGGCGGTTTATTGAAGGCATACAACACTAAGTATTGGGAGACCTATAATGAGATCCTCGATTGCCTTATTAATTTGCCAATCGCCCAATACAAGCGAGGTCTACCAGTCAGACATAGATTGCGAGACTCGATCACGATGCACCAGCCCACAACCATGGAATCATTAATGCAGCAGATCAACGAGCACATTCGAGTTGAAGATGACGTCGCCACCGCCACCACCATCGCCACCACAATCGAGAAGGAAAATCTAGTTGGAGCAAACAAACGAGTGGCTGAGAAGGTTCATTCAGTAGGGCAGGAGGATAACCGCCCTAGTAACCGAGCGGGAGAGCAATATCACGGAATTGGCCGCAATGACAAAAATAGAGGCCGTAGAAATGACCAGGCTAATGCTCCACGCAATGAGGAAAAAGATACCAAAAGAAAGTTGAAGACGCGAACCGGTATCACAATGGTCTTTAAAATCCCAATTTATCGTATCCTCAGTGAGATTATAAGCGAGCCATATGTCTGATGGCCATCAAAATTAGGGGACGCGCAGAGGGATTTCAACTCAAGATACCACTGCACTTTCCATGAAGAAATAGGCACCAAACGAAGGATTGTGTGCCATTGAAGCAGCATTCAGAAGAGTTGGTCGCGGCAGGGCACTTAGACCAGTATATTGATGGTGGAATGAGGGCTGCCCCACAGGGACAAGCCGAGCCAAATGGGCTAGTCGTCCTGGACTCCACACCCTAAGGAGTCATCAATGTTATTCACAGTATCATCGAGCCGGTGCGAGTGTGCTAGCTGAGGGGGATGATCAAGAAGGCTGAGCACATGAGGGAAATGTTCTCCGTTCAACCCTCCAACAAAAAAAGGAAAGACCGAGGTGCAAGATATCATGACCTTTTTGAGCAAAAACCTGGAGAGAATTCAAACCCCTCACAATGACGTGTTGGTAGTAACGCTTCGCATTAAGGATTTTGACATCAAGAGAATTTTGATCGACTAGGGAAGTTCGGTCAAGATCATATACTATGATGTATTTAAGCAGATAAAGTTAAAGGACAAAGACTTGGCTCTAACAATGTCTCTTTTGGTCGGTATAGACACCCCATTTTTGACCGACCTTAAGACTCAGCGTCATCGATTGAGGGCTCGGTGATTGTGCATGTTGTGCTCGTTTCGAGTTTCCAGAGTTTCGGCTGAGAGCCTTGCCTCCGAGCCTCTGAACTCTTGGTGTTTCAGCTCGGTTTGCGGACCAAGCCTTATCTTCCTTGCCTGAGGGAAGGAGAGGTCTTGTCAACCACTCTTTTGTGGTCGTAGACCACTTTTCCCGCTTGGAGACTAGTTTCCGATTTTCGGAGCCTTCGACCGCGCGCCTTGTCTCGGGACCGCTTAACGTTCTCCGTTTGGCGTGGTTTTTGAACCACACCTTGTTTCCTTGGCCTAGAGGGCCACTGTGGTTTGGGAGACCACTTCTGTGGTCGCAAACCACTTTTGGTGCTTGTCAGCTAGTTTTCGGGTCTTCCAGCTGTACGCCTTGCCTCCCGAACTTTCGTCTTGCATCCGTTTTGGTTTGTTTTTGGTACAAACCTTGTTTTCCTTGTTTGAAATGTGGTATAAGGGTGGGAGACCAGTTTCTCTCCCCGCAAACCACTTTCCTTCCTGCAAGCCAGTTTTCTGGTCTGACAACTGGTCTCTTTGGTCTTTGGGCTATCTTTTCTGGTCAGCCACCACACCACTGCATTGTTTTCATGCTTTAAACCCTCTTCCACCATGGCCCACCAGTTTTCTTCCTGGGAGACCACTTGTGGTGGTCGGCCGACCACTTTAAGTAGTTGGCCGCTACTTTTTGTCATCTTTTTGGAGATATTTTTAGCCAGCTAGCATAGTTGGAGAGCACTGAAACCATCCTCCATACACGTGTATGAAGGGATGGCCTTAAACCCTTAGCTTCTTCAAGAAGCTTGAGCATTGGTTCTCTATAAAAGAGAACCTCCTCCTTCTTCCTCTAGGTTTAGAAAAATGGTGTTGGAGCTATAGATATGCACTTATATCTATTTTTCCTTGTTTGTCTCATTTTTGTGTTCAAAAGTGCATATTCTTCATACTTTAACACACAAACACACACTCAAACACCATCCTTTTGTTGCTGAGGTGCTTAGGGGCTGGTTTCAAAGTTTTTGGATTGGTTTGAGCTTGAAAAACTTGTTGGAGTTGCAGTTTTGAAGGTAGTCTTCAAGGGTGAGCCTTTAACTCCTTAAACCCTCATTCTTGCTTAAGATTTTAGACCTTCTTGCATATTGTTTTAAGCTTAACTCTAAACTAAAAAAAGTTCTGATTTTGTATGCTTTGTAGCCTAAAGAACAAAACGGATTTCGCGCCCTCGCCGCACGAAGCCGTAGAGTTCTCAGGGTGGTCTACAGTCAGTTCAACTCACAACCAGAATGGCCAATTCGAAAGATCATTCTACCGGTCAAGGCTGGGTTAATCACAAAATAGGTGAAATTTTGGGTATTGAAAGTCCCGTCGACCTACAATCTAATCTTGGGAAAGGGTTGGTTGTACGCTATGCAAGCGATGACGTCCACCTATCACCAGGTCATGCGCTTCCCTAATCAAATCGGGCAGATAAAAGAAGTTTGGGGGGACCAGGTGATGTCCAAGCAATGTTTTGTCGAAGACCATGGCAGCTGAGTGGCAAAAGGTTTCGTACAGATGATAGAAGGACCAGAAGGCAAGGAGGTCTTGGAAGACGTGGAAAGAAAAATCGAAGAAACGTCAATTGAAGACTTGGTAGAGGTTCGGGTTGATGAGAATGATCCAAGCAAATTCTTTCTCTTGGGCTCGTCATTGTCCAACACCGAGCAGTTGGACTACGTCAACTTTCTGGTCTCCAATATTAAGGTCTTTGTGTGGACGTCTTACGATATGTCTGGCGTTAACCCAAGCTTCATTTGTCATCAGTTGAATGTCTTTCCAAACGCTCGGCCAGTCATCCAAAGAACTCGAGTGTAATAACCCCGACCCGTGATTAGCGCTAATTCATGTTTAAGTATACCTAATAAGTAATTAAGAAGAAATCCTGAGTTAATTACATGTGCATTACATTATTTTGTGTTTATATCTGTTTAACATAGAAAAATCTGTTTATGTTTTTATTCGGCTTGCGAATTGAAGGCCTTATTGGCATCCGATTCAGAAATTGACTTGATTTGTGTGTTATTTGAAATTTTTAGAACATTATGGTAGGTTTAATCAAAATTCGATTTAGAACGATTAAATTAGATTAAATTAATGCCCACTTAGTTAACCTTAATTAATTATCATTAAGTGAGCCTATATAAGGATTCTTATATGATTTCATCATTTTCTTTTCTTCATTTCAATACATTTGAGCTCACACACACACAAGCAAAAACGTGGGAGAGAGAGAGAGAGAGAGAGAGAGAGAGAGAGAGAGAGAGATAGAAGAAAATTGAGAGCAAAAGTTGGGATAGAGGAGAATTGCTAGGAATTATTGGAGATTTACAAAGAATTTGAGAATTAAAGCTTCCTCACTTGTGCAATCTACACTCTAGGTAAGAGTTTTAGTCTTTGGCCTTGTAATGTAGTTGAATAATGTATGAAAATAAGTGAATTAGGTGAATTCATGTAAGGATTGAGCTAGAATTGAAGAAAAATAAGTCATTCCATGCATGCATGCATATTTATAGCATTTGAAGTTGTTTTCAAAGATTTTCTCCATGCATGTTGTAATTCTAGAATAAGTTGAAGAATTCATAACATTTCTCATCAATGGATCACATTTGATCATGTTTTAGAAGCCATAAACTCAAGTGAACACATGCATGTCATGTTCATACCATGTTTTTACATTTCAAGTTGAATTGTTGCATGTTTGACATACTTTTGGGCCTTGATTTCATGAAATGATCTTTAAACCATGATATTTTACAAGTTCCTAGATGTCCTCCAGAATTTTGGCCCAAGAAGATGAGTTTTGGGGTGTAGAATTCGAGCTTGGAGCTGGGGAGTGCAATCTGAAAATTTCAGATTTTACACTTCTGCTCGAGCGTTGGATCCTATGCTCGAGCAGCGACCCTGTAATCTTGCACTTCCGCTCGAGCGACCAGAAGTCCGCTCGAGCGTGAAATGCATGCTCCTAGAAGTTCATATATTTTTACAGATCGCTTAAGCGATGAAAGTCACGCTCGAGCGAAGGTCTAAGTCTCACGCTCGAGCAGGGATCGAGCATCCGTTGAGCGTGAAAATCAAGCAACCAGTACTTTTTCAAAGTTTGCAGACCACTCGAGCGAATGAAGTTACACTCGAGCAAACTCTCACATTTTGCATGTCCACTCGAGTGAGGAAAGCCACGCTCGAGCATGGACTCTATTTTCAGCAAGTTTTGAAAAATGTTTTCAAATACATTTTAGCATCCTCATTCCATCCTAGACATTCCTAGGCCAAGATTAAAACACTATAATGAGGATAAGGGCTAGAAAGACACTAAGGACAAATGAAATAAGTTACGTATAATTCGAGCGTGTGTTTCAATGTATGTATCGGTAATGTTATGTAGGTCACGCGCCTCAAGTTAAGTAAATTGCCTACTTTACTCGTGTATTTGGAGCCACTGGTTATCTGTGAGTAATGACTTAGTAAAACTATGTTCAAGTTAAATTATTTTCTGTATATGGAATAAGATTTGTTCTATGAATGCTATGTTTATGCACTATGAATGATTGTTCATCTCTGATATATATATATATATATATATATATATATGACATTATTGCTATGATTCAAGTATGTTATATTGTGTGTGACATTAATGCTATAATTCAAGTATGCTATCTGTACCCAAACCGGAGGTTCCTTAATGGAATTGGCACATTATCTGTACCCGACTGGAGGTTCCTTTATGGAACTGACAAGTTATCCGTACCCAATCCGGAGCTTCCTTTATGGAATTGGAAAGTTATCCGTACTCGGCTGGAGGTTCCTCTATGGAATTGACAAGTATGATCTATGATGTTTTTGTATATGATCTGTTAGCACTAACGGATGAACCATGAATGATCAAGCATGATTCCTGAATTATATATATGTGCATTGAATGAGATCACGAATACAAATTGGTTCTATGCACGGACTTATCATTGATTTAACCCTTTACTCTGTTATTTTTCACTAGACTCCCGCTCACTATTTATTTTATATATGTAGGTAATCAGGCACGTGACCAAGCTTAGAGTTGAGGACCTGGCGACTCAGTTTTTGGTTAGCCAGCCCGTGTGCCTCCCGAGGAGGTTCCCAGTCAAGTCATATTTAGAGGTTGTGTTTTTTTTGTTTTTGTTTTTTGTGGATGTATAAGACTTAATTTTGTTATCCCAGGTAGGCAAGCCAAGAGGGGGGGAATTGGGTTATTAAAAATTTTAAAATATTAAAATTAATACAATGTTCAGAATTTTAACAAATAAAAAAAAATAGAATAATAATTATCAATATAAAAGTAAGAGA